CCACCCCAGTGCCCCCTCCCCCCAGCCTCCCTGAACCCCCCCCACCCCAGAGCCCCTGTACCCTTCTCCCCTGCAGCTGGGCCCCAGCCTTCCTGAACTCCCCACCCTTCTCCCCCGCAGCTGGGCCCCAGGCCTCCCCCCGCCCCCCAGTACCTATCTTGCCGGGCGGGTAGCGCAGCTCGCTGGCCCCCGGCGCCCCCCGCCAGAGGGAGGCGAGGAGCAGGAGCAGGGGTGCAGGCAGTCGGGTCCGCATGCTCGCTCCGGGCAGGAATCCCATCAGGTGCTCGGGAGGCGGCGCCCAGCTGGCGGGGGCGGGGCTAGGGGAGATGGCCGGCGGGGGAGGATTTCCTATGGGCCGAGGCGAGAGAGCCGGGAAGACAGCGGGACCTAGGGAAGGGATGAGTGGAGGGCAGGGGGAAGCCCCTAAACGTCCCATGAGGGGGCATCCCAGGGAGCCCCCAGCCTGAGCCTGGCTGCAGTGTGTTTGCCCCACTTGGATGGGTAACAACCTGTTCAGAGTGTACCTAGCGCACACCCATCACCGCAGTGTCTGGCCCTTATGCCTGGTGGGGACTTGAATTCCAGCCCTTGGCTGGTAGGGAACTAAAGTTTTGGGTGTTTTTTTTCTCGTCTGATGGGTGACATAGGTGGGTGTCTGGCTTTTCCCAGTGAGCAGGTGTCCCTGTCCCCAAAATAACTCACCAGCATTGATTCTAACTCATCCTTTTTGGCAGCCTCAACAGAGGAGCTCAGGATTGAATAAATTTGGGAGACTGGACTAGGCTCTCAGGGGAAGTCCCTCCAGGTCAGGACTGAGGTGCATTAGCAGTGTAGTGTGGTCCCGGGGTGTACCTCAGGGATTCTTAAACTGGTGGTCAGGACCCCTCAGGGGGTCAAGAGCTGTCCGCCTCCACCCCAAACACCGCTTTGTATCCAGCATTTCTAATAGTGTTCAATATATAAAAAAGTGTTTTTAATTTATAAGGAGGGGATTGCACTCAGAGGCTTGCTATGTGAAAGGGGTCACCAGCACTGTTCCCTCTAAGCTGTGCACGTGTGCACGTACACACAGATCCTAAACACCGCGCACATGGCGAAACACCGCGTGCACAAAAATTTGCACAGAAGCACAAAAATTTGCACAGAAGCAATTTTTTGCGCACACGGACTGTCAAAAATTAGAGGGAACATTGGTCACCAGTACAAAAGTTTGAGAACTACTGGTGTACCTCAACTCATCATATGCACATGCTGTTGTTTTCCCTTTGAGGGGATTGCCCCTAGTGCTAGGTGGCTGGCAATTACTTGATTTTTAAGAAAAAATAAACCCAACGTTTTTGTTGAACAGAGAAAAACACTTACATAGGCTTTGAAAAGGTTTGTTTTTTAAAGGTAAAATCTTGTTTTTGACAATCACAAACAAATTTGTGTTCTCAGTGATAATCTGTTTGAGCCAGAGAACACTAATTCCAGGATAGCAAAGACATTTTTTGTTGTTAATCGAGGAACGAGTCAGGAGTGCTTTGTTATCCTCACTATTATGTCCGTTATGCTAACTTCTTATGAAAAGAAGAGCTTGTCAGAGCCAGATAGACCTGGCTGCAGCTGTTTGCAAAAATTATTTTACTTTTTTTACTGTCAAGGTTCCAGTCCTGCAATTGAATCTATACAAGTGGCTCTTCACACTGGCACAGAGTTCCACTTAAGTCAACAGAGCACACTGCACAGGTTCAGGAGTCCATTGGTATGGAATAGTTTGCAGGATCAGGTCTTTAGAGTGAAAATCACGCAGGACAGAGAGAGAGAGGGTTACTGCATTTAGGAGTCATGGTGAGGTGGTGCAGGAAAGACATAGTAGAGCAGGCACATAGGGGTTTCTGCATTCCCTGCATGCCACGAATGGGAGTTTTGTTCCAGCATCAAATATTCCAGGAGGTAAACACCTCCAACATATCTGTACATTCAGGCACCCTCTCCAAATAAGCATCAGAGCCAGCTTCACACCTGGAGTATTCCCCCAATTTACACAAACGGAAGATCTGGCCCCAGGGGTTGATGTAGCAGAGGAAAGATAGGGGAGAGAATGCAGAATTCATGATTGTGGCTATTGTGCTATAAACATCCTGCTAGTTTTCCACACAGAACCTAATTGGGTTGAGTGCTAAGCTCTGAAGAACTGTTGTCTTAACTAAATGTCATGTTTTTTTGTTTATATATTTGTATTTATATATGAATATATTTATGTATATTTGTATCTTGCATAGTTGGTATATATGGTGCGTGTTTTTAAATTGTGTGAAGATGCCATGACAGTAGGGTCCACAAGTTAACAGCCTTGTGGATCTGGGCCTACAACTCCTGTAGAAAGAACAGGATGAAATAAAATAAATATATTCAAAATATCTGCCTAAATGTTATACATTATTAAATATAATGTTTGAAAATTTCCAGTGTCTATGCACATATAATCTTCATATTTTCATACCTATATAGGCCCCAATCCTGCAAAGATGTACACACTTGTTTAACATTATAAGCAGTAAATAACGCTAAGCATATGTGTGTATCTTTCCAGGATTAGGGCTCTGTGTGTGTGTGTTATATATGCCTCTATGTTAACAGATATCAGATATATTTCTACATACATAGTCAAATAATACTTTATTAATATATTGATAAATAGGAATATATCATACAATGCATTTGTAGATATACTTCTACATTTTCATTAGATCTTACATGTGCCTTTGAATATATAATGAAATATGATGTGCATTTACATTTTAATATGTAATATTCTACTATTTGCATGTTTATTTCTGTACATAAATATCTGCAATGGATGTTTTTGTAATTATAATTCTATACATGTGAATATTGTATGAAATTCAGTATAATCTGTTTGCTTGCAAATATACAGTTGCAGATATGTGAATATGCAATGCCAGTTATGCATTTGTACACACATGCACAGCTTTAACATTTATGCCTTTTATGCACAATTCTACACAATGCATATATATAATTCTGTATTTGCATATGGGAACATTTGTTACGTAAATAGCTGATATAATGCATGTTCACACTGTACAGAATTATAATTATGGGCAATGCACGTGTATGTTATACCTAATACTGTATGATGAATTTGCATATAGGCACTGTTTATTAGTGTGTTGTAAGGCATGTGAACACACGTGTGCAAGTACAGGCACAGACAAGGTGCCTATTATTACATACACACATAGATCAATGTGGATACCATCAGTAGGTACCACATAATTGGATTGTGTGCATAATTTCACGTCCCTTCTGCTTTGTAAAGCTTATGAAAGCTGCGGCTAGGCAAGTTTCTCATCCGCGCCGCTGGTGTAGTGGTATCATGCAAGATTCCCATTCTTGCGACCCGGGTTCGATTCCCGGGCGGCGCATGGAATTTTTTTTACACCCTTCTCTTCCCCACCATAGCTTAACTATAGCAGCAGAGGAGCCAGCCATAGCAGCGCACCGTCGCGAATGGCGGAAGGGGGTTGCGGTAAAATTTAGGAGACCGGAAAGAAAGGAACCGCCACCGGACGGTAGTGCGCATGCGCTGAGGGAAGGCGGAGAGAAAAGAAACCGGCGGAAGGAGAGGGCTAACGTATGATGCAGCGCGCATGTGGTATCTGATGCCAGAGCCGGCGGAGGGAACGGCCCTGAGAGGTTAGTAATACGCCTGCGCTTGTTGCCGGTCGGCGGGCTACCCTCTGCGCATGCGCTGTTGCTTCCCCCCTCTCTGAGCCGGCCGCGCCGGGCCCCTTCCCCCGCCGCCGCCATTTTGAGAGGAGCATCGGGGCTTATTGTCCGCCTTGTGGGCTTCGCGGGGCCGGCGGCGCTCGGGCTCCCCAGGCGCTGACTGGGCCGCGGCCGGCGCGGCAGGAGACCCCGGTGGGAGGGGCAGCGGTAGAGCCATGGAGGACGAAATGCCCAAGACCCTGTGAGTGGGGAGGGGGCGATCGCGCCTATTGTTCGGCATTGCGGGGAGGGGCCCCCTCCTCACGCCTGGCCGGGCGGGAACTGGGCAGGGGCTTCCCCTCGGGGTGGGGGTGGGGGGCTGGGACTGCTTCACCCCCATCTCCAGCCGTCACTGGCGAGGGGAGCTCCGTCTCCGCCTCCTCAGGCAGCTCTGGGGGGGGGGGTCTGCTTCCTGGGGGGAGGGGCTGTCAGGGGAGGGGAGCTGCTGGGGGGCTGCTTCCTTTGGGGGGGGGCTGTGAGGGGAGGGGAGCTGCAGGGGGGGCTGCTTCCTCGGGGGGGAGGGACTGGGAGAGGCGGGGGCTGCTGGGATTTTTTTCCCAGGTTAAATGGGTCCCTAGTTACCCACTTCCTCAGAGGGAGCTGGGGGCGAGGGGGGTGAGGAATTGACTCAAACTGCACAGCCCTTTCTCCATTAATTATCTTTTACCCCCTTCCTGTTTTTAAGGCTTTGTTCTTTCCCTATTCAGGGTTTTTCTGTCATCTTTATTTTTCTCTCTTTTTTTCCCTCTGTTCTTTCTTTCTTTCTTTTCTCATTCTCTATCTGAAAGGCATTTTTTTTGTAGATTGAATGTATGTACCTTTTCATGAGCATATGACTTAATTTGTGTCTGCTTGTATCTGTGTTGTATTAACCCAATTTGCAAATGTGAAGCCTGATCTCTTAAATGGATTTAAAATAATCCTGACTTCTAATTGAGGGAAAACCCCAAAACAATAATCAAATGCCTGTATAGTTAAAAAAAACAACAACCCAACTTTGTGGTAGGTTCCATTTCATGAAGAGTGATAGTAAAGCTGTTTAGGAAATGAACAAGAGGGGTAAATCTGTATAGATTCAGAGGTATTTGCTATAATAGGGCAATGTACTGTTAAAATAAACAGAGATGGCAGAGGGTTGTAAATTATGAGGAATTTTCCTTGTAATGTGGGTGTAGTTAACACACTGCTTTGAAAATCTATCAGCAATTTACACAACTGGCTCCATTTGAAATACATAGGAGAGCTGGAGGTATAACTCTTGTCTACATTTCTTCCCCCTTCCCCTTCCTCTTCCTGACAGATTTTTTTTATCTGGAGTGATTTCTAATGCTTTGACTTCATGATTTCACTGAGCTCTAGCTTTGCTTTTCTATTAACTTGTTCTCCCGTTTAGGCTGCTGCCACCATCTATTATGTCTTACTTTTAGGAGTATTGCTGTATAGGTAGGGGTTGTGAGGGGGGAATCAAAAGGAGGGGGTGAAACATTCCAAAAGTGAGGGTAAAGTTCCTGCATTTGCCCTTGAATGGTGCTTTGCACATGTCCCATAGGCATGATAAATGTCTTGGCTGGCTTGCTGCATAGGAAAACAGGACTCTTGTGACTTGTGCCACCTTTTCTAGTTCGATTCCCTAAGTGATAAAGTAAACACTATTAAAAAATATTAAGGTCCCATTGTCTTTTTATCCATTTGAACTGCTTGAAACATGTGACCTATCTGTTTTCAGAACATTCTCACCCCCATACTCATGTTTTATTTTTGTACTCCTTATTTTTCCCTAACTGATTTTCTCATATGGAGTTTTGATTAATGATCTTACCAGTTACTCCGAGAATACTGCTTCTGTTTTAAAGAATGAATTATCTGCACTCAATACATGCAGCTTATTGCAAAAGCCTGAATGTGTTTCTGACCTGCAAAAAATAGCTATTGAGCAATATTCTGAGAATTGTATTTTCTTGAGTCAGTTTCGGGGGAATTACAGTTAACTCATCTGGAATATTGTGCCATTAATTTAAATTTCAATCTGTAATATTCACACACTCAAGGTTTTGACTAAAAGGCCAATTTCCAACATATGAGTCTGGAGTTTATTTGGAATAGCTGATAGGATTTTTGTGTACAGTTTTACTAATACTAAAACCTCCATCAATAGAAGGATTAAATTAGTGTTCAGTCACACTGTCTTGCTACAGTTGGATAGGACACTAATGTCCTTGGGTGTTTGCCAGCTTCTAAACTTTATCTTTCTGGTTTTCTTAGAATAGTTGTTTTTAGTAGCTCTTTCTGGAGGACATAGGTTGGTTTTAAAACAGCCTTTTCTTTATAAAGATATTTGTGTAATTCTAATGCTTTGATATAAGGTTGTTAAAGCCTTGATATTTTGAAGCTCAGCTGAGCTGGATTGATAGCTATATTGTTTAAGTAACTCAATCACTGAGTAGCCTATTTATGTTTACATAGTAAGCTATGTAACCACTGCTTTTGTTTAAATAAATGTTTGAGCATTCAAGTTTTAAGGTCACTTGTAGAACTTCACAGAAACAGTTTGCTCACAGAAACAGTTTGTAACTATCTAGTTCTTTAATGTTGTTCTTATATTCAAAAAGATCAGTTTCAATGTATGTCTGCTTGTTTAGCAACACACTTTTCAAGAAGATATATACTGAAGCCTATACTGAGGAAATAAGTACCAGTTAATTAATGAAGCGTATAGTTAGGAGGGTATGAAGATCCATAGTATTCCCATATCTGGAGAGACTTTCCCTCCTCTGATGGAACTGTTAGCCAGTCCAGCTCAGAAGAATCATTGATGTTGGTGCCTGCTCCTGCAGTTGTTGCATGTACATGCTTATTTCTGACTTCAGTTGAGTTACACTTAGGAGTGCAGGACTGGACCCTTAATGTACTTAATCTGTCATTGCCTCTCCACAGTAGCTCTCCTGTAGCTTTGTCTCCTTGTGAAAAAAGCCTGTAGAAATGATAGTGGAGTGTAGAAATATCTATGGGTAATGACTGTTAATCTAAAATATTAACACAATGAAGAGTTATAGTGTAGCAAGTGAGCCTAATCTACACTCCAGTATACATGTGCAATGCCAATAAAGCAGGGGTTCTCAGTCAGGGTGAAGCGGTGTCACAACCACTATGTCGTTCTCATTTTGCTAAATGGGAGACGGGTCTTGGGTGGATGGCATTGGTGAGAACCACTGTAGGAAAGCAGAGTGTCCTTTCCATACCAGAGATGCTGTTTTCAGTTTGCAGGCACATGGCATAGTTAAGACCCATTTTAAATTTCACTAGTTATTCAGTACTTAATTTGAATTCTCTAGTGTATTTGTGAAGGTTATTCAATGTAAATGCAATATAGCAACTTATTTCGCCAGCAGTCACTCCACATAAGGTATTGTTAATTTATTTCTATAAAGCCATCACATCCCCCCAGTAATACACCTCACATACTTTAGAGTGCTACCATTTTATGTCTTGTTGTGAATTTGACATGCATATAAATGTAACACTGGAAGTAAGTTAATTTTTTTTTTTAAACTTGGCACTCCTTGCAACTGCTGAAGTAGTATGTTAGTTAATTTGTCACCAAGCAATACTGTCTTCAGAACTACATTTTTTTATGATTACACCTTTGCTGTTGCCCCAAATCTTAAACTAAACCACCCCGTTAACATGTTAGAGAATTCATTTAGCATATTTGACTTCAGTAATAAATATGGAAAAAACATCAGTCCACTTTTAGGAACATTGGTACCTGTCAACTTTAGAATAGCGTAGTTTTTCTCTGTTGGTCTGTTGAAGCAGCAGCTATGGAAAACCACCTTTTCTACTATGTTTTATATTGATTAGCTTGGCATAGTGCAAGTTTTTTTAAAAATAGTATTTGGGAATTCTTTATTTCAAATGCATATGAAATATTTCTCTGACAAATCTGTTTTTAGATTTACTACGCATGCATAATTTTAAAACATAGTTTCCCAATTAATATCATAGCAGCTGGTCCATTTATGAACACTACATTTATGAACTCTTTCACATTTTTGCTTCTTGTTAACTCTTTGAGCAGAGCTTTTAATATTTTAGGAATGTTTGATACCAGCCCAAAACTTTGCATGCCTTTCTTTAGCCAGTAAGTGCAAAAAATCTGCAAAGTTACTAGCCGTTGAGCATAGGTAGCAAAGGTACACAACTATAGGAGTTAAGCTATAATGAAAAATAAGGGAAGTGGAAATACTCTTGATATTTGATATCTTTAAGCAGTTTTTCTACTTCACATTTCTGAGAATACTTGCATGTTTTACAGCTTCCATTTTGGCTTTCTCCATTAACCATCACTACCATTTATCAAGTTGTGTGCCTTTTCTGATGTGTTATACCTCTTGAATGCCCATTAAGACATTCTGTATAAGTATACAGAAATTCTAGACATCTATGCACAAAGAACTGAGTTTTGATATTTGACATCACTGACACTAAAATGTCAGGAAACTTGTTGCACCATTCATATTGCAGATATTGATACTGCAGGAACATATTTTTGCAGCTCCAGCTGATATAAAGTTTTATATGGCTGCCAAGAGATTATCCAACTAAATCCGACATCCTAGAAACCTCTTAAGTTGCTATGTAATTCTGCAGGTGAAAAGGTGACATTATTCACTCAGTGATCAATTTGTAGATATTCAGTTTCTAGGAAACATTCTGACTCTGGGGTTGTTACTCAGCCTATTACTGAACATCTGGACTCTTCTACAAAAACTTTTATTTCAATTACTCCACTTAACGTCACTTTAAACATTATAATAGCTGCCCTATTTATAAGAGAAATCTTTATCACTCAGATGCAGAGAAATCCTTGCTTTAATCAAAACATCCACACACACATTAAAATCTGATCCTGATTAAATTTTCCATGTGTGTAGCTTTTTAAGGGCTGGTTTACACTGGGGGGGAGATTGATCCAAGATACGCAACTTCAGCTACGCTATTCGCGTAGCTGAAGTTGCGTATCTTGGATCAAAGTATCTTGGATCGAATTACCTGGGGTCCACACGACACGGGATTGACGGCTGCGGCTCCCCCGTCGACTGCGCTACCGCTGCTCGCTCTGCTGGAGTTCCGGAGTCGACGGTGAGCGCATTCAGGGATTGATATATCGCGTCTTAACGAGACGTGATATATCGATCCTGGATAAATTGATTGCTACCCGCCGATACGGTGGGTAGTGAAGACGTACCCTAAAATTCAGGCCCTGGCTCAGACTTGAGGTTGCCATTTTTCTTAATGTATTACTTTGTTATTCATGCTTGCAGATGGCCAAAATACATTAAATTCCAGTAGAAGTTAATTAAAGGCATGGTAGCTGAGTGGACGAAGTGTCTGCCTTCTACTTCTCATATACCAAGTTCCTATTCTGTTGTGGTTTATAAATTATTCACCGATCCAGGCCAATGGGGGCTGCGGGAAGCGGCACGGGCCGAGGGATGTGCTAGCCGCGGCTTCCCACAGCCCCCATTGGCCTGGAGCAGCGAACCGCGGCCAGTGGGAGCCGCGATCGGCCGAACCTGCGGACACGGCTGGTAAACCGGCCCGGCCCGCCAGGGGCTTTCCCTGAATGAGCGGTGGACCGGCTTTGAGAAGCACTGGTCTAGATCAGTGTTTCTCAAATGTGGCTACTGTGGCTGCCTGCGGTAATTGGGGGGGATGGGGAGAAGCAGCGGCCCCTCCCCTGGGGCCACTGGCAGAGGTTGGATCCTGCCCCCCTCTGTAGCAAGAAACGCTGGAGGAGCAGGCAGCCAGTGGAAATCAGGCTTCTGGCTTCAGCTCTGGGGTGGCAGGCAGCAGGCTCCAGCCATGGGGCGGTGGGCTCTGGGCTCTGGTCTCCGGCCGCAGGGCTTCGGCCCCCACTGCCTCCTGCAGCCCCCATCCATCGCCCTGGCCCCCGCTGCCTCACTACCCACCTCATCATCGAGGGCTTAATTTGTCCCCCAGCTTGCTGGGGCTTTGTAAATGTGAAAAATATTTGTATGTTAATATCACTTTTCACTGCCTCCTAACCAACTAGCAAGTCTGCTACTGTGAAAAAAGATATTAACAAACATACAAATATCACTTTTCATAGCAGTAGACTTACTAGCTAGCAAGTCTTAAGAAAAAGCAACAAAAAGGCAAAAGAAACAACAACAACAAAAGACAAGAGCATACAAAGCACCTTATTTTTGTTTCTATTCTGGTTAGGTCCAATAAAGAATAGAGACAACTGTACATTATTTGAATAATTGAGTTTAAAAATAAAAACAAAAAAAACCCTTTACATAAATAAATTACAATGATTTGGACATTCACATGTGCATATTTATTTGTTGTTCCTAAAGTTAATTAAGTATTTTAGGAAAAATTGTCAAAGCGACCACCAGCAAGAGTTGGTGGCTGCACTCTGAGGCCACCAAAAAAATTGTTGTGAGAACCCCTGGTCTAGATAATACTTAGTTCTGCCTTGGGTGCATGGGAGTGCACTAGGAGACCTCTCGAGGTCCCTTCCTTCCTATGTTTTTCTGATTCTGTATCAAGTATTTAATAGGGTAACTTGTTAAACTGTTACATTAGTAACCATTTTTGGTTCTGTTAATGGAATTTGAGTATGTAGTAAAAGGAGGTTGATTCTATTTAATACATTTGAAATGATTTTAATCATTTTTAAATTCTGATTTGTCTTCCATTATTATCCAGATAGAAATTTGTGGCCTTTAGAGGTAGAACCATCATAGAGCAGTAAGATTCAGTACTAGGTACTTGAGGTTTGCACAGGGATTTAACCCAGCTCCTCTTAAACGTAATCTACTGTTCATTTCCTAATAAAAATATCACACACTTAAGTTCCTTTTTGAATTGGGGCCTTAGCTTTGGTTTGGTTTACACTTAAAAGTTAGGTTGACATAGCTAGGTCGTTTGGGTTTGGTCCTCAATAGCTATGCCTACCTCTCTCCCCAATGCCCCTTGTGTAGATGCAGCTATGTTGACAGAAGAATGCTTCTGTAGACTTAGCTAAGTTCCTTCAGGGAGGAGGTAGTCTTACACAGATGGGAAAAATCCCTGCCATCAGTATAGGCTGCCTGCGTGCTGTGGGGTTCTTTCCATAGTATGGATTCAGCTTTTTGTGTCTTTCTTACCTCTAAATGGGAATAATTCTCCATTTCTCCAACCCTTTGTCTTATTTATTTATAGTGTTGGCTCTATAGGGCAGGGACTTCTGTATTTTTGCTATATGTCTGTACAATACCTGGCATAATGGAGTCTCAGTTGAGGATTAGATACTACCATAATACAGATAATATGTATGGAGATGGCTGTGGCTCTCATCCATGCCAGAGCTGAAGCACGTTGGTGAGGCAGCCCATATTAAAGCTTTAGTCCTGCAAGGAGCTCCTCGTTTGGAGAGTCCTGTGCTCACATGGAGCTCCACTGAAGTCAGTGAAGATGTGCCCAGGCACAAGTCTATGCATATGGACTTGCAAAATCTGGGCCTAACTGTTCCTTAAACAGCAGATGACTTCTGTCTCCAAAGCTATCAGTCCAACATTTCTTGCAAGCATTAGGTTTGAATGGGAAAATGTAATCTATGCTGTTTAGGTTTTTATACTGTACTCATCACTGTAGTATCTGAACACCTTAATATTGGAGTATCTCCATAATCTGAAGTTAGAATGTAGTTTGCATCTACGTATATTAAAACTGAAAAGCTTTCAGAACAACTGTTGAATTTGCTAACTCGTAGTAAAATATTTTGCTAAATTAAGGGATTGTGCTTGGCTCAGCAAGAAGTTCCTGCTTTCGTTTTTAGTAATGCTGAATGAAGTAAATAAAAATTTAGATATTTATATGTTCCTTTTAATCTTACAGATATGTAGGGAACCTGTCAAGAGATGTGACTGAGGCACTAATCCTCCAGCTGTTCAGCCAGATTGGACCATGCAAAAACTGCAAAATGATCATGGATGTAAGGGCCTTTTACTTGGATAACTTTTCCCACTCCTTGTAGCGTGTCAGTTTAAAGAAATACGTTTAACTTTTCATGAGTACAATGAAGACATTTAAAGAAGGATGCTGAAGAGCTTAACTTGCTGATGCAAACTTCAGTGATGGGTATGATATTGTAAAAGGAATAGAGCATATGATGTAATTGGACTCAAACGTTACTTGCTAGTGTTTTGTTATATCAAAAGGGCGGGGGGTGGCACAAAACATGCTAACCAAGATGCCTACCATAGCACAGTTTTAAAATATTTTTCTAATATGTTGCTAATATTGTGACTGGCTTAAAGCTGTCTCTAAATTGCTAAGACTTTCAGACATAGATATAACTGGGCACCAACTACGATTTGGTTAAAATTTGAGGGGATGATAATGTTTAATAACATGTGCTTTTTTTAACAGACAGCTGGAAATGATCCATACTGTTTTGTGGAGTTTTATGAACATCGTCACGCAGCTGCAGCATTAGCTGCTATGAATGGACGGAAGATAATGGGTAAGGTAAGCTGTCATGTCTAAAGCGTGAGTTGCGGTGGAAATAACAATATATACAATGATATGGATGAAACATCTTTAAAATAAACAAAACAAACCCCCAAGCAGAACTGAGCCACAAAAGGTAAACACTTTCTCCTGTTTTTTTTTATCTTGTAAAGTGAAGAACTTTTAACTTCATTCGAGCTTTACGATTGTGGTGGTAAAAACTGGATAGTGACAGTTCATAGGAGCGTTGGGTACAGAAGTAGGACGGAAGAAGTCAAAATGGTTGTAATAAATGTTTTAATTCCATTTGAAGGTGAGGGAGACTAGCAGAGCAATAAAGCAAGATAGATTAGTTATCTTCATTGTAAAATGGCTTAATGTAGCTGGAAATAGAACATTTTACCAAGAAACTTCAGCCACTTAGACTAATGTCTTTAACTACAAACTTGTGTACCTTCTCCCCCTGCAGTATAGAAATTAATAGCTAACAAAATCAGAATATGGTTCCAATATTTACTTTAGCAAATGTTATTTGTAGGAGGTCAAAGTGAACTGGGCAACAACCCCCAGCAGCCAGAAGAAAGATACCAGCAGTAAGTGCCCTTTATGCTTTTGAGTAATTTTTTTTATTTGCACAAATAGTTTTTAAACGTAAGCAATAAGCATCATACAAATGTTTGCAGTAATGTTTTGATCATTATCCTAAGATGATATTAAATGTGTTTGTGTTAATAAACTTAAGAACAAATCTAATCTTTGTCATCAGGTAGTACCGTTGTCAGCACACTGCGTTCACAAGGTAATTGTATCTTCTTAAACATAAAATGAAATCTCTCAAGGGTATTCACTAACCAGCTGAAGCTATTTTGGGGGTTTTTGTTCTGTTTTGTTCTTACGTTTGTGGCAAGTTTTCCCTCTCCTTTCCCCATTGCATCAGAATGTGGTCTGTTGTCCACTCTTTTTCATTCTGGTGCTGCTTCCTATAGTCCTTTGACCCCATTAGTCATGACTGCTATTCTAGAATTTCACCTGCTATCAGAGCAAGAAAACCAGCTGCCTTCAAGGCTGTTATCTGTGCTGCTCCATACAAACTCATTTGGAGTACTTAAATTGCTTCTGAAATTCCCCTTTCATGGCAACCCAGTGTGTTGCTTCTGTACTTGGCCAGCCTTAAACTGCTTTTAAGAATTTGCGGTTTAACCAAACTAGTATTGTAGTGGATTTGTAAGTTTCACACCTGCTCTAATAGAAGTTAGTCTGTATAGTGTTAACTATTAAAATATGCTTTATGAAAAATTGTTTAATCAAAGTGGAAAAAATCCTGAGATGTGGGATCTTTATTTCTCTCCAGTGCTCTTTTTAATGTCTGTGACATAAAGTGAAGGATTACTCTTTTCATCTGTTGCCTTCAGTCTTAGTTCACTTGCACATGGATTCAGTTGTATTGAATACACATGGATTCACATGATGTAATGGCTGGGCAACCAAAACTGTTTGACTTTTGAGAAAACTGTCAAATTCTTTAACATCAAACTATTGCAATGCAGGGTATTTCTTTGTTCTTCACAAAATATGGTTACACCAAACATTTTGTAGCTAGGTTCAATATCCATCCTACTTTTAAAGCAAATTTTATTCTACATTGCTCACAAAACCACTAGATGCTTTAGTTGGTAAAGTTTTGGATAGTTAATGAACTATCTGTAAATGTGTTTAATTTTAACATTACTATTGTAACATTAAGATTTTAAAGTAAGCTTTGGCTTTTAAGTAAACAATTGCAATCTCTGGTAAAATAGTGACTGGTTATGAACATAACTACAAAAACAAAATTTGAGTTAAATACTGTAAATCACAGCATTATCCTTAAAATTATTGCTTTTGTTATACTGTCACCAAGTGATGGTTATATTTGAAGCAGTGACAAATGTTACCTTTGATAGGTAAAGGATTTTAGTTTCCCATGTAGCTCTCAGGTATATGGAAGTTAATGCAATATAAAGTTGCTATACTGCTTGTGTTTCCAGGAACATTCTTCACACTTGTAAATTATTTTCTCTCTTTTTCCCAATAAGACCATTTCCATGTCTTTGTTGGAGACCTCAGTCCAGAAATTACAACTGAAGATATAAAAGCAGCTTTTGCACCGTTTGGAAGAATATCGTAAGTGATTTCTTAGGGCAAATAAATTAAATGTTACCTTTTACTGGAGGCAAGCTTACAGTAAGTAAAAGTCCAGTCAAGTTGCAGAAATGACTGCAACGCACACTTTTTGTGTTCATAAAGAGACTTCAGAGTTCTAGTACTTGAGTAATAAGTAGGGATACATAATAAAATTACCCACCAGCAGTCAGTTTTCTTTTTTTAGAAAAATTCACTGTATATGTAGCTTTGTTTTTATACTGTAGAAATCCTTGTGTAACTTGGAGGATGTCATACTGGGTAGTTTCTCTGACATGGGTCTTGTATGATTACATTTAGTGGCAAATGAAATACATGTAATCATTCTTAAAAAAATAGTTTAATATGGATCAAATTCCATGTGCATATTCAGGTCCAGTCAGATTTTGGCTTTTTGATGATAGTCTAGGTATTTAATACAAAAGTTCTGTTAAATAAAATAGTTTGTACTTCTAGTTTAATAATCAGTTTGGTTGTTTAACACTTGCCTTGTGGTTACATCTAAAGGCCACAACCAGTTTGGGCCTCATTGTACTAGTCACTATACAAACAGTAAATAAGAGTCCCTGGCCCAAAGAGCTGAGTCTGAAAGACAAGATTTAACAGGTGGATAGGGAGAAACAAGTGAGGTGGGGAGATGGGTTAACAAGTAGAACAGTATGTGTAAAGACTTAGCTGATCAGTGGTAGTGATCACAGCTCTCTACCTGCCTACTCATTACTATTTGCTGTATTAACATACAGCTGTAATGCTTATAGTTTGAAAAGCATTTAAAAATACATGCTTTGTAGCAGGGCTAAGAGCGGCTTGTTTGTTCCTTCCTCCAATTTAAACTGTTCATTTACCTTGAACTAACTACTTGTATTTGGATTGCTGCTCCTTGATGGTGAGGTACCAAGATAAGTGCTTTGAAGTGTTGTGTAGTGATGCCTTTATTTGAAACAAGTTTTTCTTATGAACTCCAATGTATTGGACTTAAATCCTAATTTCGTTTCTTATGATAGGGTTTTCAAACTTGATCTGCAGGAGATTCTCATTTTAGAAAACACTAATTTATATTTCAGATTTTTTTTTTTTAATTTTAATCACTGTCTCTCTCTGTAGAGGTAGCAGGTATACTTACTTGCAGAGGAGGTTCAGTGCTTCACATAGCTGAACATCTACTCTCCTGAATGACACATGGCTTCTAAAGTAGGTCATATTTTCCTCATCCAGAAGGATTAGTCTGGGAAGGAGGAAGTCGTACACTGAAATGTAGGAGGGATAGTTTTAGGCAGATCCTCTTTCAGAGCTGCAATCATCTTTCCACCCCAAAATACTGGTCTAGCAGTCAACTGCACAAGGCTTTTTTTGAGAGCTGGCTTAGTGCTGGTCTACACTGAAAAGTTACGTACCTTGGCATAACTACATCTCTCAAGGCTGTGAAAAATCCATACCTCTGAAAGATGTAGTTAAGCCAACCTAACCCTCAATGTAGACAGCATAGGGTACTGCCTCATGAAGAGGTGGATTATCTGCAGCGACAAGAAAATCCCTCTTGTCACTGGTTAGTGTCTGCACTGAAGTACTGCAGCGGTGCCAGCATAGCTGTGCCACGCAAGTGTTTTAAGTGTAGGCATTGCCTTACTTTGCAGTTTATATACTGATACTCAGAGTGTAAAGAGGGCGGTTAGTTCCAAACATAGGCTATTTAAATTGCTGCCTTCATTTTTTTTTTTTTTCAGTTCCTCTGAGGGGCGTCTGTGTATAAAATAACTCTTAAAACTGTGTACCGCATGTCTGAAAAACAGGATTACTAGGATCCTATATATCATTCCCTTTGTTCCAAAAGAGATTCTCTTAGTGGTGATTCTCTCTGCAGTGAGAGAGCTGATTATCCAGACTTTGCAGGGCCTAAAGGTGTGTTTTTTTTTTTTTTTTTTAAGTCAGGTTTCAAATAACTTGTGTGAGCGACCCTCTTATCCTTTCTCTTTGGGGTATTCAGTACAGAATCGTAGGGCTAACTATCTGAAAAACCTTTTAGGTCACCTTGGCTCAAGCTAACTTTTCATGGGGGGGGGGGGGGAGGAGGATTTAAGATCCCTCTTTGTTGTAAACTGTTGTCCTAAAGAAGTAAGGGTAAATAGTAATAGAGTGGACCTTGATTTCACACAGTTACTCAATTAAATGTGTGAAGAATACTCCATATTTATAAAACGAAATTAAAAAAATATTTTTTTGTATATTTAACTCTTCTTAGTCATTGACTAATTCTTGGAAATGTGATTTGAGATTTTTTTTCTGATTTTCTGTGAAATAATCAAAGTTGAACCAACGCATGATTAGCACGTAAGAATTTTTGGTAGCTTTATACAACTTAATCTTTAATATAAATACATCTTTATTGTGGTCTCCCTTTATGTTTGGTGTATGCATGTTTTCACTTGTTCAAGTCTTATTTTCAAAGTTTTCAGTTGAGGGTAAGTATAGCTTAGTTTTTATTTCCTTTTTAGGCTGTGCAGAGCAAACTGATCTAAGATTACATAAATGACTGTTCTCAGGCAATTTGTAACATTATTATTCAAATTTTCTTAACACAGAAAATTGCAAGCAGTTTAACACTTTTTCATGAAGGGTTTAAGGTACATTTCATTCTGTAGTGTGTGAAAGTGGTCTTAATTTGAGCTTTTCAGTGATCTACATATTCTCTATAGCCGTATGTGTAGAAGAACTAGATTTTATTACAGAATGCAATTATTTTAAAAGGTTTTAAAACTGGCATCATAAAACTCTCATTATGATTTTTCTGCCAGTCTTGGAATACTGAATATTGTGCATCTAGTTGATCTAAACCATATTTTATAAAGCCTTTACATTACACTGCATGACTTTGCTGACTGGTTTTATTTATCTTGTTTTTTCAAAAGTGCCTGTAATTTTTATGGGGTTGGGGAGGGCAGGATAGTGGTGTGTGTGTATACTTCTTGATATTTGGCTAACTGTACACGAATTGCCTGAGAAACACCATTTAATAAAATCAGACTTCCCACAAATGGGGTTTAGCTATTGTAGCTGGGTCTCTCCTTTTTTTACTCAATCTCAAATAATAGGCCTCTGGTTATTTTGCAGAGTGTCTCTGAAGAATGGACAGAATTGCCATGGCTAACTACAAGCTACAGTTCACAGTGGACAAACGTTGTAGTTTTCTTATTTACTTTTATAAATTTTGCCTTTTATATCTTGTAGTTTCCAATCAATCCTGTATGATTGCTGTTTGCGAATGCAGTTTTAAATTCTTTATAATAGTATATAGTTTAAAACGTAAATGTCTTTAGTGTTTTATTTCCTTCGATAATGCAACCATTTCTGAAAATGTCAATTTTTCAAAATTTACAGCTGCCCACAGTCCAAAAAGGGGGTAACGAATTGACCTGAGAAACTTAAAGAATTCAGTTAACAGGCGACGTATGCCTTTTAATTCCTATTTTTTTCATTTTTCTATTTCATATTTTTAATGAGTAGGTAGAATGTGTTGGCAATTAGCAAGCTATAAATTGCATGGTTAAAGAGAGCCATTCAGCTAATGTTAGTCAGCTGTGTGGCTTAAATGAGTCATTTGAATAGCTGCTTTGACCATGCTTAGTGTCTTAACAATATGTTAAAGCATTTTGAACTGGGAACCATCTATTGTAAGATATGTTTATTAGAGAAACTATTGATTTGCATGTTTACAAAATTAAGTTTAATTTTGCTACTACATGACAAAACACTAGTAATGTTTTTGTTTAGAAAAGGAGGAATTTGTTTTGAATATGTTGCTGGTGCATTAAACAGTTCATTTTAATAAAGGTGAAACATGAAAATGAGGTCTGTGTGTTACTCACTTTCATTTTATTATGTTTTTTTAATATGCTAAATTGGCCATTGCTTCTGCTTTTTAGAGATGCACGAGTGGTTAAAGATATGGCAACAGGGAAATCTAAAGGATATGGCTTTGTTTCCTTCTTCAATAAATGGGTAAGTAATGGCATTATAGATAGTATGAGTTCTAAAATCTTGGTAGTTGCTTTAAAGAGAACAGCTGTGTAAAACATGTACATTTTTGGTCCCTTTTTATATCTGGTACTGTATCTGTTTCCCCTTCTGTAAATAGGTAAGTAGTATTTTTTCCATCTATCATGTGATATTATAAGGCTTCATTCATGTTTGGAAAGTACTTAGCACTTTCTAAGCATCATCCCTATGTAAGTGCAAAGTATTTATGTACAGAGATGAAAACTAGAATACTCACTCAGACTGATATTTGTATCTGAAAATTTTACTTTTTTTCTTACATTAAATACAAATTACTTTGGACTGAGTTATTTGGCTCTGGCAGAATGGCAGTGTTTTAGTGCTTAAAGGTCTGGTGCACTACTCTCTAAAGCAACTTGTATTTGGAAATACTTTTATAGGATTTGCATTACATCATTAGTCAGTTTTTATACAGCCTTATTAGTGGTCTGGGATGGAAGGTATTCAACATAAAGGGAGAAAATGGAGCTAACCAGTTTAGTATTAAACTTAGAATAATCAAACATTCCTACTTACAGCTTCTTTATGGGCAGGGTACTAATAACTTATAGCTCCAAATCTCTCTCTCTCTCTCTCTCTCATTCAGAAATAATACACTTTGGAGGGAAGAAAGAGTAGGGCAAGCCATTACGTGGTCTCAGTATATTTTGAAAATGGGAGATTGGGGGAGTTTAAAAAAACAACACCACATACTTTTCGTGGTGGTAGGCCAGACCAGTTTGAAATATTGGGTCTGAGAGATTTATTCTAAATGCAGATGAGGGAGAGCTAGAGACTCAGCTGAAGGAATGTTCCTACAGCCTTTCAATTTAGTGGAGCAACTGCACAAACATGCTCTATAAGAGTGCATGACTCTTCTTGGGATACATTCAGTTTGGCCTAAAATAACTGCCTTAATCCTGTATTTTAAACATCTTTTTGAAGAACAGATTTTATTTCAATATTTGTTAGAAGTTGGCAATATCTGAGTCTGACAGACCTACGATGATTCGCTTTTAGTATGGTGTTGCTCAAAAAGAATTTGCTGAAAAATGTTTTTCCCCTATGGACAGGATGCAGAAAATGCTATTCAGCAGATGGGTGGACAGTGGCTTGGTGGAAGACAAATCAGAACTAACTGGGCAACACGAAAACCTCCAGCTCCAAAGAGTACATATGAATGTAGGTTTTTAGTTTCTGTCCGCCTTGCCCCCACCCAAATAAGGAAGAAATGAAACTTCTTATTAGTTCTAAGTATTAGCGCTTCTATCATGAGAAAATTCAATGCCCTGTAGAATTCAGAAGTAAAGATTTTGCTTGAAGAAATATGATATGTTAAATTATAAATTTACACAAATTTCCTTAAATACTAATATTAAAATTTAAAAACCTTTCAGTTACTTTTCAGCACTTATTCAGTCTTGCATTTCAGTCAGCTTGGACAATGAAAGTAGTGTTTTTGATTTAACTTATTTTCATGCACTGCCAATGTTTCAGTTTTTGTGGTGAAAATACTGGGTGGGGGAGGAGTGTATTTAGACTTAAACTGATGGAAGAAAATATTTCCATTAAGTGTATTTAAAAATAGATTTATAAACCTGAATTTTGGGCTTAATTTAAATGACATCCCTCTAAACATTATATGCATCAGTAATCCATCCCATTTATCTTTTGGGAGTTGCATGTCTCCTGTTTTGAGATCATCATGTATTTTGAATGCACTTTTGTTTCTTTATTTTGTGAAAATGACTCAGTTGGGAAACCTCACTGACTTTTCATGTCCCTTCTAATGCTTTTAGTTCTTTGCTTCACATATCTCTCACTTCCTAAACTACCACTTGGGAGGATGTTATAGCTGTATATTTTGTAAGCTAAGTCTAATGGTAAAATTAAAGATTTACAGGAGAAAATGTATTGGTCTCATTTAGGCATCGCCCAAAAAACCCCTAGGATCCTTGCTATTTGTAGACTTCTGAAGACAGGAGGAAAGTAAATAATTTGTTTAAATAAAAAACTTAAAAAACATTTTTTTTTACAGCAAACACCAAGCAGCTGTCTTATGATGATGTTGTAAATCAGTCGAGCCCAAGCAACTGTACTGTATATTGTGGTGGTGTTACTTCAGGACTAACAGGTATGGCATCTTGTAAATTTTGGGGTTTCCTCATAAAATGTATCTAAAAATCAGAAGTACTTCCTAATTTTGATTGTCTACTTTTTCTACACTGCAGAACAGCTAATGCGCCAGACCTTTTCTCCATTTGGGCAGATAATGGAAATTCGAGTCTTCCCAGATAAAGGGTACTCTTTTATACGGTAGGTTACATTTTGCTCACTTTTAAAAACGTTACTTTTATCTTTCCCTTGAAAACACGTTAAGCACTGGTGTCAGAATGTTTCTAGTAGGAAATTAGCCTAGACAGACTTAGACTATCCTTCAGTATCTACAGTTTAAACTATAGTCTCATCTTGTTTGTGTGGTAATGTTGATCTGAGTTAACAAAGATGTACTACTTTTCTTTTTATAATTTCATAGTTGTAAGTATTGGATATGATTCTTGCAGATTCAGAATCCTATTTTTAAATGCACTTTCTTACATTATTTTCACAGACAGCGCTGTAGATAATCAAAAATGTAGCTTAACACAATTTCAGATTTTACCTATCATGCATGCTATTTACTTTTTTGCAGCTCACTCAAGATGAGACAGTGAAACTAGATAGGTCAGTTTTGCTTTCTGAATCTTTGTACTACTACAATGCTGCAGTATTTGAGTTCCCTTGCAAAGACTAGTTTCTCCTGCAAACAATTATTTTTCATTGTTTTTTTCTTTTCTTTTTGTAATCAAACTTGGAAACTCTTAAAACGTAAAGTGCAGGCACACTTTTAGGCTGAAAGTCTCCTTTTAAGTGTCTTGTCTATAGATGTATGGAAGGTGGGTTTATATTGATGTTCCTTTTGTATCTTAACAGGTTCAATTCTCATGAAAGTGCTGCACATGCAATTGTTTCTGTCAATGGAACTACTATAGAAGGGCATGTTGTGAAGTGCTATTGGGGCAAAGAAACACCAGATATGATCAATCCAATCCAGCAGGTCAGAGAACAAACTTACACTAACTTGTAAGATGGTGATTAGTGTGATCTTATTAATGAGATTCTTAACATATTTCTAGCATGGAAATACATATTAGTTTCAGGGTGGTGGGTTGTGGATTTCATGTGCCATGTGACCTCCCAAATTAATTCTTGCTTCCATGATATCTGCCTTTTAAGATACTTGATCAAAATTAAACTGTTTGGAACTTGTGGAAACCTGCTTTGGACAATGATAGAGAGTGGGAAGAGCTTTAAGTTTCTGTCTGAATTTCAACTTTGCTCTTTCCAGCAGAGGTCTCTGGAAGAGTTATCTGTAATATTAGACTGCTGTACTCCAGAGAATACTCAGCAAAATATGTGTGTGCAGGAGGTGGGGTGATTTTTCATATATATAGCGTTAGAGGGCGTTGCCCAGCTAAATTTTATAATAACTTTCAAAATGAGGTATTAGAATACAAGCCCTTTTAAGTTCTTGATTAAAGGCTAGCTTGATAGGTAGGAGTTTCTACATCAATAGATACATATGACTGTTATTAGTGTATTCAATATTTCAACTTTCCTTGCAGAATCAAATTGGATATCCACAGGCTTATGGCCAGTGGGGCCAGTGGTATGGAAATGCACAGCAAATTGGTCAGTACATGCCTAATGGTTGGCAAGTCCCTGCATATGGAATGTATGGACAGGCATGGAATCAGCAGGGATTTAAGTGAGTATGCATGCTAACTGATCTGTGTGCTATAAATAAATTGTGAAGAATGATGCTTCATTGGGGGAAATCATCAGTTTAATTTGGGATTCATTGAAGTACAAGGAAGTTGTACCATTGTAAACTGGTGTAAGAAGATCAGGTCCCATATCTATCTGAAAGTACAATAGGAATTTTAGGTTGGCAGAATAATTACCATTCTTGAAATATTTTCAGGGTGTAAGGGACTACTACCCTTGCAAAAATGCCAGAACTACCTTTTAGAGTAGGGGATGTATACCTCGGTGTCCTGGTCAAACTAGTACTCTCTTTACTAATGGTCATCTTGAACTTCTTGTAAATATAGGCACATTTTGTTCCTTTGCCTAGCCAAATTCTAACTCTGGTAATTGCACCATGCCTACTTACAATTCCTTTGAATTTTAAATTTAAATCAGTATTTAGTTATTTCAAACAGCTGCTATTACTTCCCAGTTGTGGGTGAAGTGATGTCGGTGCATGTGCACTCATGTACCTGAAAATTGATTTCTTACGCAGAATATTTCAGGGTTTAAATGTTGGATCCATTAACCCGTAGTTAAACTCAGATCTACTGTAGCAGGGGTCAGCAACCTTTCAGAATTGGTGTGCCGAGTCTTCATTGATTCACTCTAATTTAAGGTTTCGCATGCCAGTAATACATGTAAATGTTTTTAGAAGGTCTCTTTCTATAAGTCTATAATATATAACTAAACTATTGTTGTATGTAAAGTAAATAAGTTTTTTAAAATGTTTAAGAAGCTTCACTTTAAATTAAAATGCAGAGCCCCCCCGGACCGGTGGCCAGGACCTGGGCAGTGTGAATGCCACTGAAAATCAGCTCGCATGCCGCCTTCGGCACGCATGCCATAGGTTACCTACCACTGTACTATAGTGACCTAAATCCATTGAACTACCCCTTCTGAGGGGTCTGGTGGCAACAAGCTACTTGAGCTCTACTCTTTCCTCCCCTCTGTTCCCATGCCAGCCCAGATATAACTACAGATGTTTATAAAACAATCTGGCCCTCTTTAAAATTCAGCTACACACAACAGCAGTGAATTCCTGCGTGGATTCTTCGTTTTTTACACTTACTGCCTTTAGTTGTCAACAGTTTTCCTCTTTTGCTTATGCTTATATCTGCACTTTATAAACATTTAAGTAACACCAGTCTAACTGACAAGTGTTGTGAGGGATTTTATCTCCACTGAACTTGTCTGTTTTCCCATCTGTAATGGGCCTGCCTTTTTTTCAGAAGTGCTGAGCATCTACAGTTCCAGTTGACTTCAGTGGTGCTTAGCATGTCTTAAAGTAAGGTCCTAAATGACTTGCCAAAAGCCGTGACATCAGTGTCAGAACTGGGGTTACTTTTAGGAATTTTTCTGTGTACTAGGCAAGTTTCTGTTGGCCAAAACTTGGAAAGTATCTAATTAGCTTTCAGTGTAGTGTGGCAGTTCTTATCCTCTCCAATCTCTTTATGTAAATTCAGTCTTTTGGAACTATACGTTTTCTGTAATCACCTCTCTTCCCCCTCCCTCCACAACAGTCAGACACAGTCTTCTGCCGCATGGATGGGTGCAAATTACGGAGTTCCACCACCTCAGGGGCAGAATGGAAGTGTGTTAACTAATCAAACTGGATATCGCATGGCAGGTTTCGAAACTCAGTGAGAGAAAAGGACTCTGGAACCTAACACCAGTGACTTGAGGCAACAAGGAGTGCTGTAAAGCCTTTGTTTACTTAGATTTATCAAGTCAGTGCAAATGTCCGATACAATGTATTTATTTAAAGAAATCATTTTAATCATGAAACTATTTGTCATCCACATTGTTTAAAGAAACAAACAGGAAAAACTAGATGCTGGATGTCTGCCAACTTTTGCCTTCTTTTCCTCCTTTTGATGTGTGTTTCTTAAGATCCTTGTTTGAAACACAACAAATGCAGGGATTACTGCCACTGTTAAATTGGGGCAGAAAATTGCACAAAGTCAAACTTTTTTTTTCTTCTGAAGTAGTGTGCAGTTTTAGTTTGCATTCCTAATGGTTTAAAATGTATTATAAACAGTTGTACAAAAAAGCCAAAACTGTGTGAATTCTGAAGGTTCTTTTACAATCTTCAGCCTGTGCACAAATTAGTTTTAAAAATAGCCTATTGTATAAAGTGTCCATCTCTCCACTTTTGTTTATACCAGGGTTTTCAAATATAAATTATTTTACATCATTTTGTATCTAGACATTTTTCAAACAGTTGTCTTTGCCTTATGTCATGAGGAAAATGTGATGCTCAGCATAAAATTGTGTGCACAACTCTCAGATGGATCTAACTGAAGTCACATTGTGTTCTACGTGAGAAGGTGCCTAGAGAAATCTCTGTTGGATTTGTTCTATAGGATTTTTATCTTCAGTGATAAACTTTGATGTGTACTAGGGAATATAAAATCCTGTTACAAATACCACAATGTGACAAATTCCTAAGAACCAGCTTTTTTCTGTCAATCTACATTTACACATATCCATTATCATGTAAAATATTTTAGCAAACTAATATTTTGCACAAAAGTTAGAAAACTTTGTATGTTTCCTTATTTAAAGGTAGGATGCAGAGTCCTTTCACGTGATTTATGCATAACATTTTTAAGGGTTTTTTTTGGTCTTGCATGTGAATATCAAATACACACTTAGGTAGTCTTTGAATACAAAGTCATCCGCTCTTTTTTTAAAGAAACTGTAAAAGACACAAAGTTGTATGTAGAAAACAAATCAGTCTTACTGTTTACTGATAGTAAATTTTACTCAAATAGAGTAAGTTGACTTGATTTTAACATGTACAATTAGAGCTGTGAAAACTGTAGCATTGTATGTGTAAGCATCAGGCGGGGGGGGTTATGTGGAATGCTCCAATTTAGCCTGAAGGACCAGCTGGGCAAAGCATTTTTAAATGTTCAAAGGCCAAAAAACTTTCTATCCTACCTCCTTGACCAGCCTTCAAAGAGCAAAAACTTCTTCATTGTGTAATGTTATTTATTATCCCTATTAAGCTTTGGCTTCTGGAGTTCCCATATTCCTTTCTCTCCTCTCCCCCTCCCCCCCCCATCAGTTGCAGTTGGGCAACTCAGAGTATCAAGGGATTAAACTTTTGCTATATTTGACAGTTATGTGACAATGTATTTCAGGGTCTTATATGAAGTAATAACAGAGTACAGTGGGGATTGGGACAGGAATGAGGTCAGGCTCCCCTTTTCCCCCCAATTAAGGATATAATATTGGACTGTTTAAAATTTTGAACATTTTTATTAGAAAATGGGAGGGGTGGGGAGAGGGGGAAGGCAGGCATAGGGCAAATCTCTTAGGAGATTGTGTTGGCCTATATCTTGTAGCCAACGTTCTGTAAAGTGTGGAGGACCTGAGTGTGTGTGACTCTCTGGAGAACTTTTCTATGCAGCTGTTTTTAAAACTTGGCTTTAAAGATAGGTGAATACAAACCAACTTTTTTACTTGGAAATGTTTTCCTCCTTGTAACTCTTGCAAATAGGACTCGCAACAAAAAACAAACAAAAAAAAGCTTAAAAGTGAAATGTTTCACAAAGTATATCAGTATCTTTTTAACTTCTATGGATTATTCTAGGTTAGGGCTCTATTCTGACTTTAATTATGCAAACATACATTTTTACTTTCTGCTTGACCAGCTGTGCTGTATCATATATTTTGCCCAAAGAACATCCATATCTGTGAGTAGGCTCTGGAGTTTAGCTCAATGCTGTATTTGAATACAGATTTTAAAACCAATATATGCATAATGTGTATTTTTACCTCTTTTATTTTGACTGCATGAACAGCATCTGTCTAAATTTAAAAAAATGTATCGTGATTCCTGTCATTAAAATGTACACATTATTGCTTGGTTTAATTAAAAGCAGAGTGGGGGAGGGCTTCCTGTGCTGATTGCTGAGGACTGAAATACCTCTTGAATTATAGGCTCCAAGAGACAAGAACACACCTTTTTTTAATGAAACAAATTGAGAGGTCACATGCAATATGGAAAATCTGATCTGTAGATGGAGAAGATACCTCGTTATTTCTCTGAGGCCTAGAGTTGTGAAGAGTATTGTCAGAATGAGACACCTCTTGAATTCTCCCAATGCACTGGCTCTTTCCTTGCAATGGCCTTGGTGTAAACAGCTCTATAAAAAGCTTGCTAAATGTACATTATGGAAGTTACGCCGTTCTATTTGTTATCAACCAATGTTTAGAACAAACCTATTAAGTGAAATAACTTGTGACATGCTCTTTCACAAGTCTTGCATTGGGAGCCAGAGAGGGCTGTAAGTGATATTTGTATTAGTGTTGTATCCCTTTTGTCCCCACCCACTCCACAAAACACCTAAAGCAATATTGAGGTGACAATCATTTGAACACATTCTTCTGCCCTACCAGTGCTCTCCTTTCTTCCTCACCCTTTTTTTTTTTTTTTTGTTCTGAATATTTGCACTTCTATCAGGCTTTGGTGTTTACAGAAATGACACAGCTGCCTTGATATGTAAGGTATGCGTTATAGAATCCCAAACACACAACAGAAAAGGATAAAATGGCTTATTTCCAAGGTAGCAGCCTGGACTATTTTTGCATTAGCAGCCCACTTCATATTTGTATGAAACATTAAATTTCACTTGAATGAATGTATTTTGATATTTGTGGTTAGGGGTATAAGACTCTTAACTCCACAACTGGTGAGTTTTTTTTTTTTTAAAGCTGTTAAGGATGTTAATAAAACTGTGTGAACTTGCATATTCCCAACCTTATCAGTTTTTTTATTTTGCTTGTCACAGTGGAGGTTCCAGTACTTCAGGGGAAAAGCAGGCACTAAGAGGATGCTTCCTTTATTATAAGCCTTATGTCAGAATGCAGTAGGGATGTATATACTGGCAGTGAGCGGTTTTCCTGTTTCCTCAGAGGGAGATCATACTGGCTCTGAATTTGTTTGTGCTTAAAGGTGTAGCCCGGGTACTGTGTTGATACATATAATTTTCGTGATTTCATATTTGTGTTCCCTTTGGCCCAGCATGCCTGACCAGTACTCTTGTTACATGACTCACCAATAGCTATATGCAGCATTTTAGTAATTCAGTACATCCTATGGGATGGAATTAAATTCTACTCTTCAAACAAAATATTTGTTTATGCAGTGATATTAGTAAAGCATGCTGCCCAATCCTTTAGGAGCGCCATACCAAAGATGTGGTGAGCTTGATGTCACTTTCACAACTTGTTAGCTTTTAGTTGGATTGTTCCCTCTTGTGAATCAATTAATGGTTTGTGCATGTGTCTAGGGTAGAGGTCATGGATAAACTAATTTAAGTATTTCTAGCACCCCAAGATGTTTTTTTAGAGTCAGAAGTCTTCAAATAACCAGTTTGTCACTTACCTTCCTCTCCAAGTAACAAAATCAGCTTATGAGCTCTACTTAATTTTAATATAGAAAATCTATAATAGAATTTGCATTAAAGTAATGAATAGTCTCTGCTTCTGTAGTCACAAAAGATGCAATCCCCTTACCAATGTAAGTGGCATTGGCTGACAATGCTTAGCCTCTAGCATGCCCAAGCTCTAACTGTTGTCAAATACTCGGAGGCTGATCTGGCATTTCTTTTGCAGGCATAATGCCCATTGACAATAAGAATGTGGCCTGTGTTTCACTGTCACCAGACTAGAGTAGACTAGTAAAATAGCTCATCAGCACTGCTGGCAAACGGATATATGAGTGGCACACTATTTTAATATTTGGTAATTGGGGGGATTAGACATAGGAATTTTTTCAGCCTGAAACTTTTCTAACACCATAGGAACTTAGAGGCTCTTGCTCATGCCTGGGTCCTTTTTAAATCTCAGGGCCATGTTCTGTTACCGACTTAATATAATTTAACTCTCATTCCAGTCCTACACTTGCAGTAGTTTTGCTGCTCCCTGTAGGGTAAGTATGTAGCTGGATAATTGTTGCTTCATTTATCTACAGGAATTTTGTGTGTGACTTCTTATAACTATATATCTGAGGACCAAACGAAGACAGTGATGCATTGGAGACTTATACAGGAAAAACCCACGTTCCCACACTGCACCATGGTGTTACTGCTTTAGAAAGGGTCACACTCTTGCCACCTCTCATGATTGTACAAAGAGTCTTGCTTTGTTTTTCTTGAAACCATAGCTCTTGGAATCCTCAGCTTTCATTGGGGGGAGAAAAAATTCTAGCTCTGTGTTAGAGAAAAGCTTGACCAAGCTGTACCAGTAAGCTTCAAAGTTAGATGTCAAATGAAAGAACACCTTTTATTTTTAAAATTAGTTTTAAACTAATCTCATGATTTTTAGGGGTACCTGACATGATTTTTGGATAGTTGGGGTTGGCAATACTTGTGAATACCTAGGCTCAGATTCACAGTTATTTAGGCTTCTTACTTCTAGTGAAATCAATGGAAGTTAGGAGCCTAAATGCTTCTGAAGATCTGGCCCTGAGTCCACTGTGAATGTATAATTCACTAACACAAGTGACAGTGTGCTTTTAATGAGGTTTTTCTCCCTAAACTCAGGTGCAATCCTGGGCTCGTTGGGGAAAGTTACACCCCTGTAAAGTGTGACTTTAAAGCCCCATGCCACTATAAGTGCCCTTATGACCACCCTTATTCTGGTATAAAAGCATGTGGGGGTGGTCTTTAGTTCATCTGACCTTGAAAAGCGATTAAGCTAAATTGCAAAAAGCCACTTATTCTGGAACAACTGTTCATGCATGTTTTATAGCGATAGGTCCAGGTGGTTTAATTATGTTGGTACAGTATCATAAATGGTACAAATTTTCTTATTTAGGCAAGCCCAAATTCACGTCTACACCTCTGCACACCCACTGTGACATAATTACTAATTCACACTCAGCTACACTCCCACCCATTAACTCACTGACAAAGTTACATCTATACTTAAACAGCTACAGTGGTAATGCTCTTAAGGGTGTCAGTATAGATCAGGAGTCGGCAGCCTTTCAGAAGTGGTGGGCCGAGTCTTCATTTATTCACTCTGAATAAAGGTTTTGCGTGCCAGTAATACATTTTAACGTTTTTAGGTCTCTTTCTATAAGTCTCTAATATATAACTAAACTACTGTTGTATGTAAAGTAAATAAGGTTTTTAAAATGTTTAAGGCGCTTAATTTAAAATTAAATTAAAATACAGAGCCCCTTGGATCGGTGGACAGGACCCTAGGCAGTGTGAGTGTCACTGATAATCAGCTTGTGTGCTGCCTTTGGCACACGTGCCATAGGTTGCCTACCCCTGGTATAGATGCTGTTGGGAGGGGTTCTCCTGTTAGTACAAGTAATCTACCTCCCCCAAAGGAGGAAAGGAATTCTTCCATTGAGCTAGCACTGTCTAAGCTGGTGGCATAGCTATGTGTCTCAGGGGTGTGGAGTTCACCCCTGAGAGACATAACTATGCCAGTGAACTTCATATCATAGACCAGCTAGCAGTCGCATTAAGTATGGCCATATTGCATCAGTCCATTGAGCCCAGTATCCTGTCTTCCGACTGGCCAGATGTTTCAGGGCTAATGAACAGCACAATTTCGAGTGACCTAGCCCTTGTCCAGTCCCAGCCTCTGCTAGGTTTAGGGCAGAGGTTCTCGATCTGGGGGTTGTGAGGTTATTATGTGGGGGGGAAAGGGAGGAGTCATGAGCTGTCAGCCTCCACCCTAAACCCTGTGTTGGCTCCAGCATTTATAATAGTGTTAACTATATTAAAAGATGTTTTTAATTTATAAGGGGTGGGGGTTGGCACGCAGAGGCTTGCTATGCAGAAGGGGTCACCAGTGCAAAAGTTTGAGAACTGCTGGTTTAGGGATACTGGAGTTAGGTCCCTGATCATACTGGCTCATTCATCCACTCGTGCTAATGCACTCGTACCCATTAACTCACTGGCATGCTAATTCACGCTCATTTATTAATTAGATTAATTACACTCCCACGCATTACTGAGCAGGAGCCAGAGCGGGCTCACTCGCCCCAGCGCGTTAGTCAATTACAAGCGAGCTACCCCGCCAACAGCTGCCAGGCGGAACTACACTTCCCGTCATGCTCAGCCTGCCCACCACGTGACGGACGACCGACCAATGGGGACTGCCGTTACAGCCGAAGCCCGCTGGCCGTTTGTAAGGAGCCATGGCGGAGGCCGCTCGCTGACTCCCCTCGCAGGCGGCCCGGCTGGGACCCGAGGCCTGGGGAGGCCGCCCAGGTAAGGGCGACGCGAGGCCGAGGTCTCGCTCAGGAGAGGCCCGGCTGTGGCCCCCCCGGAACAGGAAATGACATCAGGGAGGCCGAAGAGGATACTGGGAAATAATGGGGGGGGGGATGATAGGGGGCCTCAGGCCCCTTTCTCCGGGCCCTGGTATGGGAGAGGTGATGACATCAGTATGTGTCGTCGATGCTGTCGCAAGCACCCTCCTTACATCACTGCAACACATGCACCAATGTGACATCAGCAACACTGTCACTGTGACACAACCAGGGTAACCATGGTGCTGCGGCGCATGCGCCCATGTGATGTCATTGATGTCGCTGTGACACAACCGGGGTAATCATGGTGCTGCGGCGCATGCACCCATGTGATGTCATTGATGTCGCTGTGACACAAGCGGGGTAACCATGGTGTTGCGGCGCATGTATCCATGTGATGTCATCGATGTCGCTGTGATATATCGGTTTATGGTGATGCAGTGCATGTGCCTGTGTAATGTTATTGATGTCGCTGTGACATAGAGGTGTAACCATGGTGATATGGCGCATGCGCCTGTGTGATATCATTGATGTCGCTGTGATATATCGGTGTAACCATGGTGCTGCAGCACATGCACCTGTG